GCGCGACGGGGAATATTACATTAGAAGAGGTTCTCGAGTTATAGAGTCATAATAGAATGACTCCATTCCAAGATGAGCTGGTGAGGTGATGAAAGAAGGGGTATGCACGCTTATAGGAACATTTGAGAGAATAACAAAAAAAAAGTGTATCGACCTAATTTTAACTAATTTTGTGTGACCCCTTTGTACACAAGTGTATCATGAGTTACATCATACATAAATGATTTCGCAATGGATTTAAAGTGTGTGCATTAATAGATTATAAATGTGGCTTGACCATTCGCCCTCGATTATTCGAGTTTGATAAATATGCCCAATTCGACACGGAAATCGGATAAGAAAGTGCTTACCGGAGAGAAAATTACCTCCAGAAATGCATCCCGAAGGTCAAGTCGACTTCAACAAAGATTCAAGCACGTTACGAAGGTGAGGGAAGTTCCGTATCTTCCCGACGATATCATCGACAACATATTTGAACATTTGGCCCGCGATACCAGATATGCTTGTTTATTTGTTAGTCGAAGGATGTGTCGATTGATGGTTCGAATATTGTGGAGAGCGCCGTTTACCTTTTCAATTCATTCATTATTCCTCGGGAAATTACCTTCTTTGGTTCCAGTTTACATATCGTGCCTTAGCCCTTCTAGAAGGGAAGTGTTAAAACAGGCGGGCATTATATTACCTTCTGATATGCAAACGCCTTTGTTTCCATATCAAAGTTATTTAAAGGAGTTTTCGTTGAATTCATTCGAAAAGATGGTTCTTTTATGGTACAATAAGAGTCAAGTGTTAGATCTTGGATTGAAATTGCCCGACAAAGATTACAGGAAAAATGGGATGAATCGACAAGAGTTGCTCTCAAGCAACTTTGAAATCTTGATGGCAGAACTTTCGCAGCTCATATTCAACTCGGCTTGCTTAAAACTAATAGATTTTTCCGGAACAGCACCTTTACCAAGGTTCCAGTCATTCTCGAGATTCAATTTTATCGGGGAAAATGTCACGTCCCTGTCCATGAGGACACTTCACACGCTTAACTTGAATCCAATGTACAAGGAGATGACGAAGAATCAGCTCGTAGAGTTGTTAAGGTCCATGGAAACCTCGTTTAATAAAATAGAATGCCTCGACATAAGGCACTTTTATAATCACGTGCCGGAATTTGTAAGTTTATTAAAGGCTCAAGGTAATCTTCAACGACTATCATTACGATATTCGAAAATTGTCAATCCAATTTTTCGAGTATTGTCAACCATGGCGCCGACGACGCTGACATGGTTGGGATTGGACATGATACATCTCGGGCTGAAACCGTTAATGCTGCTCACGACCTGTCAAAATTTGAGAACGTTGGTGCTCGTCAATTGCTTGTGTCGTCCGATAACTGAAGTCTTCCCCTCGGAGGACGTCCCGGTTAATCAATTTGTCAACCTAAGGAAACTTCACATCATAGAGGAAAGCAAGTATCCACACAATCTTCGAACCGATCTCAAGGAAATATTTCAGATGACATCTCGGTCCCTAAGGGAGTTCACAATGGATGTTGCATGTAATCAACAAATACGAGGATTACTTCTGTCGATGATCGAATTTTCGCCGATGATCACATTCCTGGCTGTGCACGCAAGTCAAGAAGACATTATGTTCCAAGAATTTTACGAATGGTTAAAGATGTCAAAGTTGGAATCATTAATATTAAAATTGGGTGGAAACAATGTTGGTGCGTTCATCAAGTATTTGGGTGTTTACTTTCCGGATTCTCTTGTTCATTTTGATCTTGAATCGTTGATTACACCAATTCAACTGTCAAATTTTTTGAACAAGTGTAACCAAGTGAATTTCAAAAGGATAGGATTGAATGACATGAGAGGAATTAACGACGAACACTTACACATACTGATGAAATACGCGGAATATTTTGGGAGTTTGGAAATAGTGGAGTACGACAGATGGGCGGCGAAGGACGTGAACATGTTGGGGTGCGTGAGGAAGGTGATACCATCGAGGTTTAACGATGAAAAGTTAAAGAAAGCGGGAAGGTTTATTAGGGTTATTAGGCGGGATGAATCCGATCCTTTCCGTAATCCAATGAATTTTTAGCTCACATGTTGGAACGGATGTGTAGGGGATCGATCCTTTTCGTCCTTCTTTCATATTTCCTAAATTTAGTTGGAAAATTAATTGATCTGTATTCATTTGAGATTTTTGCGGGTTCTCGTAAATTTATGATAAATCGCGAAATTCATTAACTTATGATTGAGACCGTAAAACTGACACGTAACCATGACAAATTTGGTAGTCAAACTGTCGATCATATCTGATACGTGTACAGTATATATAAATAGGGCGCAATTTTTTCTCTTCCCTAGATTTATGTGCATATACACATACTGTATATACCCATATATATGGAAGAAGAAAACCCACCTATTAAACAAGAACCCATAGAGGAATTCGCTACACTCACACCGGAAAGAAATCATAGGCAGACGATTCCCTTAAGGGGTCCCTCGGACAAAATCAAGTTAGAACCCGAGAGAGCGTCGATTCATGATTGGCTTTCCAAATTACCAGCTTCTAAACATGTCTTTGGGTCCACGTCCACTGTGACGACAAATGATGCGAACTTATGCGAACCTGATGATGCAGGAACGGAGGCCAGCACCAGTGCGGCAATTCCAAAGACAAATTCCAAAACAAAACAAACAGCCATTAGGTCGATCCCCGCAAGTCACAAAAAAACGACAACGAAGACTAGACAACGTAGAATTCTTAAAAAGTCGGTAAAAGAGACCAGCGGAGGTAGGGGCAAGGACGTGAACAAATTATCATCATCGGTCAACGAAGGTATGGTCAAAACTATAAAAAGGACAAGGAGAGTTAAAAGAAAGGAGGTTGATTATCGTGAACCTGCGGCTGCCGAGTCTTCCACGCCTAGAAAGATGAACCTGGGAAATGAGAAAGAACCCAAGAGAATAAAAGAGTCGAAGGTATTGGGTGAATTGGAATGCTCGGACGAAATTCTGGAAAAAAAACGGGAAGTATGTGAGATCATAAATTACTATATTCGGTGACCGACGGGTTGCCTTGATGAAATAGTGTTATTTGTTTACAGGAGTTGTTAAAATTTCTTAAATCGTTGAGATTTATAAAATTCCATTATGAATATGCACCTAGTTTCAATCATTACTCGAATCATTCGATCAGAAGGCACTTGATGCATATAATGCATATGAAGATCTTATCAAGGAGCTCAATAAGTCAGCTCCCGGTTTAAACATTATAATTGAACCATCAAAGATGTATAATAAACATTTTATTCATACATTAATGGGATTTGATGAAGATGAGGATCCCAAAAAGTGTAAGTAAGGTTGACAGCATTATGCACATTTTACTGATAGGGAGATGAGGCTTTATTCCTTACGCGAATTACCCATAGCATAAGAATTTTTGTTTTCATAATGTCAAGTGGTTTCGAAAAGAAGGAAGAAGGCAGCAGCGGATACCGTAATTTCCGTCACCGCAAATCTTAGACGAAGTCAAAGGATGATGAATAAAACCCCACATTGAAAGAAACGATCTCAGGTCAGTTTATAATTTTGATAGCAAGGATAACCGGAAGAGATCAGTACTTCGACAAGGATTTTTTTTGTAGATTGGTTATGTCACCGATCATTATGCTTACTGACCAGAAATGTGCATGTTACATATAAACAATGGTTTCTCGCACATCACAGTCAAGTCTTTATTAGTAAAATTTTCGAAGGATTTTTTTTTTTTTTTTTTTTTTTGTGATCTTCATGATTCAACTCCATAAGTTGGAAGGACATCTCGATGGTCGGTCATAATGCTACAATTTCAACAAGACTGTTTGGAAGCAATCTTGGAACCAACCTTTTATCTTTCGTTGTTATTAAATAACCATGGGTAACCGAGTAAACCAGGTAAGGAAGGTATTGATCAGCGACAGAACTTCAAGTTGCTATTCTTTCTATGTTCCTTAAAGTTACTGCCTTCTGAGGTGAAAAGAAAAAAAAAAAAAAAATAAGAAAAAATACTTAGACGTCGCTTTCAATAATTTAATGAAACGCAAACCAACTAAAACAATGATCGCGTGTGTTTTGCTTTTATTACAATATTAGGAAGAATACATGAGGAATGCATTTCTTTTTGTGTTGATTCCCTGGGAGACCTGCTCAAGGGATATTGTTAATTTTGAAAGATGAGACAGACCTAAAAAAAAATCTTGCTCCTCTAGAATGATGGCCAAAATTCGTTCACAGTTCCATCGTCTTTTTCCTTGCCAACTATTAATAAAACAAATTGATAAATGTGCGAAAGAATCTTATAGAATAGTTTTAACCATAGAGGTGTATTCAGAAAGCAGATGTTAAATGATGAACTTATTATAAAAATGATACTTGCAAATTTCATTAAATCCGGATCCAAACTTCCTTAAAGCCATTAGTACGTACCAAAACGTGAACTTGAAATTCCGCGTGAAGATATAAGAAAATTTTAGCTGGAATTATAACAGCGCTACATAATGCGTGAGATCAATTATTGATATGTATATTAACCGTAAAAGATGGTATAATAAGGGAAGCTAGCATTGTGTGATTGATTAAGAAGATGGTTAAATTGTGCATCAGAGTTCCAAACTATATGTTCGAGTGACTTACTCAATGTTATCCAAAGAAACCATCCTTGAGTGGCGTAAGCAATACCATCATCAACGAAGAAAGCAAAATCCAACACGCATAAAGGCCATAGTGCAAAAAAGATGTACACTCCGATTCTCCATTCCTTTGAAAGCTAGCGAACCTCGTGAAATCAATAATAGCAACTATGCATTACGCGTGTAGATGAACATCAATGAGATTTTAAAAAGAACAGAAATAAAAAATTACCGAAATGTAAATTAGAAATTCAGAGGAAAAGGCCACGATCAATGCTACAGAATGAATATAGTACACTATTTGAGTAGCTGTTGTTTGTCCCCCGAGCAATGGCGCGGCTGCGATGGTGAGTGACATGTATGCAATTATCAAAAAATAATCAACATTTAGCAAAGTTTCAAGTTTCAAGGACATCCTGTATAATGCTAAATTTAATGGCATGAAAGGGGAGAATGAACGGAATAATAGTCACCACCGATTAAATTATAAGGAAAGATAAAGATCGTTTAATGACATGGTTCAACTTACATCGGATCTTCGAATCTGCCATCCTTTTATACGCTTCATGTTTCAACTGACTGTATAATCTCAAAGCAATTACGGAAGCTATGACGGAAAACATAAACGAGGCTATAAAGTCCAAATATTCATTTTGTTTAAAATTCGGGTCGATGTTGAAACTTTCCGGACACGTAGACTGTATTGAACTGAGATTCGAATCAATTTCTACCTGTTGAACCTAAAGCAATCAGATAGGTATGAAAACAGAAAAAGGTCAAAGCAACGTATAATAATGAAAAAAAAAAAATAAGACTAATGTGATAAAACTTATTCGTTCGTGAATGCTCACGAGCGCATAAAACGTGGCGCCGAGGTCGAGTAAAATCACCGTGGTAAGTTGAACCGTGTTTGAACGAAGAATCTAGGAACGTTTGTAGTCAATAACTGAAAGGCTACCTCGATTCATACTTCATCTTCCTCTTACTACCAATTTTTGGACACCGATACCGCGAAGGAAACAAAAAAACTCACCACATCCAAACAAAGATAAATTTGAAATGCCTGGTACAATATGATGAACACATTTTCGGTCACAAACAAGGTCATCTTACTGTGAACTCTATTAACTCCGCATGACAGTGCAATGGTTTCGTTATTCTTCAAATACCCATTCATTTGATCGATCATGTCAATATTCCGAAAGAAAAGTTTTAGCTGAAGGCCTATTAGGACGATAGCCTGGAATAGTGATGCCAAGGCAAAGGATCTTGTATTTATGGTGGAGTTTATTCGGCGCCACTTTTTTTAGTAGAAGAGATGGCATATGTGGAGAGAGTGCGTGAACAAAACCAATTTTTTTCCGCAGTTGAAACGAAATAGCAATTCACTGGAAAACACTCTTCAGAAGTTTTTTAATACATAAACTCGAT